TGCCCCTACACAATCTTTTTATGATTTTATATTTTTGTTTGCCCCCCCCCCCCCTCCCCCGATATTTTTCTGATGATGATGTTCACCTACATATTTTATATTTATTTTTCCTTTTATAGTAATTGATATTTATGTGTGTTTACTCAATTTACTCGTTTTTTCTAGCCTTTTTAAAGGGTAGGGGACGATTCAGTATCTCCGATTCAGTATCGCCAATTCAGTATTTGGGTTTTTTGGCCATAACTTTTTGCTCGATCAATATTTTAGGAATTTTTATATATGGTTCGATAGGCCTCGGGGTGCTGCATCTTTTTCATGGTTGGACTGATCTGATCTTATCATTCTACAAAGAGTTATCACTGATAAATGACGTCACAGGCATAAAAAATCGGTTTTCACGCTGTAACTTTTTTTGTGATCATGATCTGATCGAGCCAATTATGAAAAAGATGTCGAATCTCGAGACCTTTCGAATGATATGAGAATTATTCGAATCGGTCGAATATTAGGAAAGTTATGGCCATATACTGAATCGGCGGATACTGAATCGGCGATATTGAATCGTCCTTAACCGCTTTTTAAAGGATCTCTTAGCTCAAAAATGGTTGTTTTGAGAAGGTGATATAAAATCCCAAAGTTGGGATTTTATGTCACTTTTAGATAAAATTAAAAGGCACTCATGAAGAGAATCAGGTTCGACATTTAGGGAAGAGTTTCAGGGAGATGGTGGTCCATTCCCTTACCGTATTTACTCGATTAATTCCCCCGAGGAATTATTTTTTCAACCCATCCGTGGCATGGGGAATTATTCAAGGGAGAGGAATTATTCGAGTTTTGAAATTTGAACGTGTAATAGGGTATTCGAGGGAGGGGAATTATTTTTTCAACTCATCCCTGGCATGGGGAATTAATAGAGGGTGGGGAATTATTCGAGGTAGGGGAATTAATCGAGTAAATACGGTATATTAATTGGGGATTGGAGAGGGAGGGTCTAAGTTAGGAGACCGACAAAAATCTCATTTCCGGGATCCCGTAACGGGATTTAGTTTGAAAAGATCGGACAGGAGGGATACCGCGGAATTAATCCCGGTAATCCCTTTCGACGCTCAAAATCCGGGATTCTTCTTTATTTTTTTTTTATTTTTCAAGGCATTTTTAATTAATATATCTATTTTTAAATATTTTTTTCTGTTTTGTTTTAAATAAACAATTGTTTTATTTTTTTCTTTGCAAAATTCCAATTTAATTTTTTTTTCTTTTAAATAAATATTTATTTTATTTTTTTTTTAAATTTTTTTTAATAAATAAAAACAAGCATTTTTTCTTCAAGCATTTCTCTTTCATTTTTCATAAGCGGCACGTGTTTTTTTTTAATTTTAAAAGAGAGGGAGACTTTTTTTGAAAAACGAGAAGTCTATTTGTGATTGATGGGACATTGAAATGAGGGGGGGGGACGTTAAATAAACTAAATAAAAAATAAAAACAAATAACCTAAAAATCTATTTTTGTTATGTTCCCTTCACACTACTTGTGGGCTGGAGGGAACAATTTTTCAAAAAAATTTTTTTAATTTTTTCTGGATAAAAAAATTTTTTAAGATAAAAGCTTCCTGAAAAAGAGTCTAAATATGTTTTACCTAAATTATTTTTTTTAAAAGTCCAAAAAATTATTTTAAAAATTAGAAAGAAAATTCGGGGGAGGATCTCTGACATGTGGACAACGCCTAGTTTTTACCTTATAAAATAGCCAAATGATGACGTAGAAGTGTAAAATTTTGCATAGATGTCTCTGATAGGTGTCATTCCGTACTGTTAAAATTTCAGAATTTTTGGTTAATTATTTCAGAAATTCTGGTCAGAAAAGTCAGAATTTATTGAAAATATGTCGATTTTTGGTAGTTTTTCAATCAGAAATTCTGATTTAATTAACTAAAAATTCTGAAATTTTTATCAGAATTAGTTAACAGTATTGGGGGAATGTCTATACAAAATATCAACTCTCTAAGTACATACTCATTAAATAAATTTTTTAATGAGCGCTTAAAAGCTACTCCCAGGGGGAAAAGTTTAGTTAGTCTCTTACAAAACAAGCTTGTTTTTAACTAAAAATAATTTTTTAAAATAAATTTAATTGGTAATTATTTTTAAATGTTTATTTAAAAAAATAATTTTTGAATATAGTATTTTATTCTGATTTTTTCACAGGTGAAAACAAGATTCTTTTTTGGGTTTATAAACTGTTATTTTTGGCATCTAGAATTAAAAAAAATTTTTTCTGTTCTGATTTTAGTAAAAATTAATTTTTTATCATTTTTTATTTCGGATATACTGTAGTGCAGCACCCACTCCAAAAAATTTCAAAACACATACCATTCGATTTGTCTCGGCGAGCTGAGTTGAATGGTACCACTCTCTTTCTGCGGAAATGCCTAAGAGCTGAGATATAGAGCTCGAAAGGGTCAAAAACCATAGGGGGTACCAAGCTGATTTTTGGGGTCAAAAATTCGAATATTCAAATGATAGCTCATTCGAATGAGCTCGTCGAGCTGAGTCGAATGACACCAAAATCACCGTGATTGAACGAGATTAGACAAAGTTACGACACAAAAACAAGCAACATAAACCTATGGGGCGTCGGCGAGGCGCTTGTGCAAAACTCCGCGCTTCGCGCGGAGTTTTGCGTCACGCGCCTCGCGGGGAGTCTACGGGCGCTGGGTCTGGGCTCGTAACATAAACTTATGCCTATTTTAGCTGCGGTCGGCATGTCTGGCTTCCTCCCCAGCAAGAAAAACCTGCACGTAGACCAAAGGTAAGGAGCTTAAACAAATGCTCATAACTTTGTCAAATCAAGTCGGATTTCGTTAATTTTGGTGTCAATCGACTCAGCTCGACGAGCTCTTTCGAATGTGCTGCCATTTGTATATTCGAATTTTTGACCCCAAAAATCAGCTTGGTCCCCTCTTTGGATTTTCGATTTTTAAGGACCTATATCTTAGCTCGTAGGCGTTTCCGCAGAAAGAGAGTGGTACCATTCGACTCAGCTCGCCGAGATGAATCGAATGATATGTGTTTTGAAAATTTTTGGAGTGGGTGCTACACTACAGTACAGCCTTTATTTCTTAACAGATGTTTTAAAATCTTTGTTTAAATTTTTCTTTGAAAAAAATAATTTTTTAATAATTTTTAAATTAAACTTTTCTCTCCCTCTTTTGCTGCTGGGAGGACTAAGAAACGTTTGGCGCGAGCTTATAAAACACTGAATTGCTTTTTTTAGAAAAGACCAAATTTTGCAATAATAACTCTCTCATATCTTTATTTAAGATCCCCAAAATTTTCAGATTTTTAAATCTAAAATTGTAGAGACTAGGGCTAAAAATGTTGATTCTCCCAAAAATGCCTAATTTTTTGAGGTTTATTGACTATAACTTGAAAAATATTTGATGAAAAATTCTGAAATTTTTGGAGGATGTAGTCAAGGATGTTAAAGAAATTTGGGAAAGTTTTCATGGATCTAGATTACGCCAAAGTGCCAGTTTTTAGTCTCGCGCCAAAACTACCCCGCGCCAAAACAACCCCAAACCCTTGTTTTGCATTCAATATTAAGCATTTTTAAAGCATTTTCACGCGCAGCATATCCGCCTCCTTCCCTCAACTCTTTCTTCACTCTCATCCTTTTTTCTTACCCTCAAGGATAAGCAAAAAATAAATCCATATATTAATTAGGTAAGTCTATCCTTCTTTTTTGTTCGATTTTTTGCCTTTAAAAAAATTTTTTACAAGTCTATCCACCCCCCCCCCCTCTTAAAAATTTTTTCTTTAACGTCTATCCACCCTCCCTATCTCCCCCCACCTCTTAAAATTTTTTACACTTCTTCCCTCTTACCATTTCCTTCTCTTTTCCCTTCCTTACCTTTATTTTTAATTTTATTCATTTGCAAAAATAATTAGCATAATTTTTAAATTAATTTAAATTTAATAAACACTAATTTTAATTAATTTATATTATGTAGAATTTTTTATTTTATTTTTTGTTTATTTTTTGCCATTGTGTACATACAGTCGTGGAAAAAAGTATGGAAGCGCTAGAAAATTTTCTCTTAATTTTTAATTTTTCATTCAAAAAATACGTTCTATATACCAATCGAAAGCTCTATTCGTATCTCAGTTGACATGTTTCTGCATTTTTCATGAAAATGAAAATTGGCCGAGATAATCCGGATCTACCGGATATACCAAATCCCACTTTTTCGGAAAAATTTTTCGGAACAAATTTAACAAACCCAAATGATAAAGCATATTTTTGTGAGCAATTACCACAAAACCGCTTAGAAATATCTTTTTCCGGAGCAGAGATATGATTTTTTGAAAATCGCATTTTTCCCTTAAAAATTGAAAATTTTGCAAAAATTGACGAAAAATGCGATTTTCAAAAAATCATATCTCTGCTCCGGAAAAAGATATTTCTAAGCGGTTTTGTGGTAATTGCTCACAAAAATATACTTTATCATTTGGGTTTGTTAAATTTGTTCCGAAAAATTTTTCCGAAAAAGTGGGATTTGGTATATCCGGTAGATCCGGATTATCTCGGCCAATTTTCATTTTCATGAAAAATGCAGAAACATGTCAACTGAGATACGAATAGAGCTTTCGATTGGTATATAGAACGTATTTTTTGAATGAAAAATTAAAAATTAAGAGAAAATTTTCTAGCGCTTCCATACTTTTTTCCACGACTGTACCTATATTTTTAATATAATTTTTGTGCCATTTTGGCATTACTTTGGCATTATGTTTGTTTTTGGCGTTTTGTATATTTTTGGCGTTTTATTTATTTTGACATTTTTCTGTTAAAATTTTTATTTATTTCCGGTTTTCCCTCTCCTTTTCTGGTTATTTTTGTCTTTATTTTTAACCTTTTCTCCCTTCTATTTACTTGTCAATTTTTTTAATTTAATATCGAAAAAAGCCTAATTAAATAAAAATTCTTTTTTCAATTTAAAGGCTCCTTTTCTCGTTATCACCAACTTCAACAACAACAAAATTCTTCTTCTTTTTCCTCATCTGTCGGGAATAGTGGAAATTATCAACACCAATTAATTAATTTCCCCAATAAACTTCCCTTAAATATTGGCCGTTGCCATTCATTTACACGATCAAATAACAACAATAAACCTTTTCTTCCCCCTCATCACCAACATCCTTTACTTCAAAGAACGGCAAATAATACTGTTAACAGTTCTTTTTCACAATACGATTCTTTTGAAAGTAGTGCGAGTGCTGGAGGTGAATGAGGGATTTTTTTGAAAAATTGGAAAATTGGGCGCAGGGGTCGTTTTGGCGCAACCTTAAAGATTATCTTTTAAAATAAACTGGATTGTTGAAATTTTTGCTTTAATGTATCCCAATACTCTTGGCTATTTTTCTTTAAAATTTCAGAATTTTTGGTTCATAATTTAAAAAGTTATAGACGTTAAATGACGCAAAATGTCCATTTTTCGGTGAAAAACTTACCCTTTTAGCCATAATTTCTGATTTATGAGTCAGAAAATTCTGAAATTTTTAGACAATGTGGATAACTTTATTTGGGACTTGTTTGCAAAATTTGGGGATTTTAGATAAAATATCAAGAGTTTTATGAGTCTACACGCCGTAGCACCTTTGCGCCGAAACGTCATTAAAATTTTAATTTTTCCTATTTAATTTTAATCTTAACTTTAGAACCCTCCTACTTGCCTCACTCTTCCCATTCATTTTCTCGTCGAGGAGGTTCTCAAATTAATCGTAACCACCATCCCCTTTTGGCTGGTAGACCCCCATCTGCTGCCGCTCAACTTCAACGTTCTCAATCAGACGCATTAAATCCAGTAAGAGGAGGGGGAATTTTTTTTTAAAAACAAATTTTTTCTTAAAAAAAGATTCCTTCACGTCATTCATCACAAGGAAGTGGAATAGAAGGAGGGGATTTTCAAAGTGTTATATTGGGTGGAGGGGGAGACCGTTTGTCTGGTGGAGGTATTAATAACGGTAGTGGTGGTGGTGGGGATACTTTAAGAATTGGAACAACTAGTAAACGTCCGTCAGTATTACTTCGTGATCTACAACAAGGTGAGGAAATCGAATAAAAAATGGGGGTTAAATTGAAAATATAGAAAAAGCCCTGAGGCATTAAATAAAAAATTCCGCTTTTCAAGAGCTTTCGAATGATATAAGATTTAATCAAGTAAATTCGTCTAAAAAAGTTAAGGCCCGATACTCTAACGGCACTCAAGCAACTTCCTCATTTTTCCTTTCTTTAATTTTCTTCTCACTTATTATTTTTCGAATTCCTCATATTTGCCAATAAGGGATAAACACCTCGTTTTGTCACATAGACTTGATGACAAGATGTCGACTTTTACCCTTATTGGCAAAATGTGTTATTGGCAATTTGTACGTGCACTTATTTTTCTTTCTCTATTTTCTCTTAATTGTCTCTCTTTATTTCTAATTATCTATTGTTTATATTTTCTTTTGCAAATAACTGAAAAACAATAAATGGGACACGCCCGAAACGGCGTACGGCCACAACGGCGCTAAGCCATAACTTGCTTCATGATTGCCGAGTCTTAACAAATTTAGTATTGAACGATTCCTCTCATCAAGCTAAAAAGTTGATACCAAAATTGATAAGGGTTAGAGATTTTCCAGCAAATTACGGCTTTGCGCCGTTATGGCCGCGCGCCTATTTGGGCTTGTCCCTTTTTTCTTTTTCCTAAAAATTTTTTTCAATAGAGTGCTTAATTACTCCCCCACACAAAATTTATTTTCTTCCAAAAATTAACTTCCTCCTTTTATATTTTTCCAGACTTTCATCACTCATCATTGGATAGTAGTGGCTCTTATAGAGAACACCATTTACATTCAGGTGTTCTTCAACATCCACAACCACCAATTACAACAACTAGTCAATTAAACAATTCTTTTTTGTTTTCTTCTTCTACTCATCGACAACAACTTATCAACAACCCCAACAGTTTAATGAAGTTTAAACACTGCCCTCTAGGGCATTCTGATCCACAAATATATACACATACTCAAACACCTTTCTTTGTTTTGTCTGGTGGAGGAGGGAATGGAGGTGGGGGAATGTTTGGTGGAGGTGGAATAAGCAACTCTTTTGCTACAACAAATGGAAGTCGCCGTTCATTTTTGAGTTCGAGTCCGCAGGCTTTTAAACTTAAGGTTTTTCTTTTTTTGGTAAATTTTTGGGTAAGTTGGGCAGCAGGGATTTGCTGGGCACTTTAGCCCTTTTTTGCTTTTTGTCTTTTGCGAATTGCTAAAGTGACTGCCAGGCCCGTAGCCAGGATTTTTTTTCGGGGGGGGGGGCCAAAGGGGGGAAAATTTTTTGCGCCAAATTTTTGGCGCCGGAGGCGCCAAAATTTTGATTTTCAGCGCCGCAGACGAAAATTTTTTAAATTTCAGAGGCCGTAGGCCAAAAAAATTCACTTTTTTTGCCCCAGCCCTTCCCCAAATTTTTCCCTTTTCCCCATTTCGGGGGGTAGGGGGGGGGGAATTCCCCCCCCCCTACCCCCCTGGCTACGGGCCTGGTGACTGCACATCCCTATTGTACAGTTATTAATGTAAGCTTTAAAGAGATCAGATTTGCTTAATGTAAAATTTGGTTTAGAGGGATTTGGCTTGGTTTTGGGTACTTTTGGTTGTGGGTTCGAGCCCCCAGCAGAGGAAATCATTTTATATTAGTGTTATTTTGTTAAATAAACATTTTGTGTATATATTTTTCTTCTTTACCTGTTTTATTTTTTTTATCTACCTTAATTCTATTTAAAAATTAATTCGAAAATTACCTTTTCAGAGAGAATCATTTACTGGACGTCTTCAACAACCCAACAGTGCAGCTATAAACGCTAATTGTGGTGATTCAACGGGGAGCGTTCGTAATTCCGTTCAGGTTTATTAATTTGATTTTTTAGTTAATTTCCCAAGACTACCATAAACCTATGGGGCGTAGGCGAGGCGCTTGTGCAAAACCCCGCGCTTCGCGCGGGGTTTTGCGGCACGCGCCTCGCGGGGAGTCTACGGGCGATGGGTCTGGGTCAGTAACATAAACCTATTCCTATCTTCCTTGTTCTGGACGTACTTGGGGCCTCCGTAGCAGCAAAAACCTCCACATATACCATAGGTAAGGAGCTAAAATAAACGATCATAACTTTGTCCAATCAAGTTGGATTTCGGTGATTTTGGTGTCATTCGACTCAGCTCATCGAGAGGAGTCAAATGAGCTATTATTTGCATTTTCGAATTTTTCAACACAATTTGAGCTTACTCCCCCCTTCTCTTTTTCAAACTTCAGGGGTCTGTAACTCGGCCCCTGATTGTCGGACCGACTTCCCCCATATCTAGTTCGACTCAGTTTTCGAAGCTCTTTCGAATGACACCTCATTTGTCGAAATCGGTCCAGCCAAAAAAAACCCACTATAAGTCACAATACCCCTTCATCTTTCCAAAACCGAATTTTTTGAAGATTTTTCCTCTAACAAGGAACCATCGTTTACTGTGACTGCGAATTTGATATATTTTTTGGTACCATTCGATAGAGGACCCTCGACTTAGTATCGTGGCGCTAACCGTTTTCTTGCAAAATTAGTTTGGGCCGAGTTATGGCCGTTCAAAGTTGAACGCTAGAGTCTGAAGTTATAGGGTAAATAAACAACTTCTCTCTTATTTTTCATCCTCAAAGAACCAAGCCACGCCTCTTCTCTTTATTTATAGTGTCTGACATTTTTCTCGTGCCCGCTCAACTCATCTAATCCTTAACTCATCCACACGCCCAAAAACGCTCAACTCATCTAAACGGCTAAAATTCCTTAACTCATCCACACGGCCAAAAACGCTCAACTCATCCAATCCTCAACTCATCTAATGCTTAACTCATCTACACGGCCAAAAACGTTCAACTCATCCAATCCTTTGGAACGAGACTATTGAGTACCAGTCGTTTGAGTCCCTGGCCGTTTGAGTCTCTGACCGTTTGAGTCTCCGGCCGTCTGAGTCAAGTAGGGTCCATGACCAGTTGAGTCCATGGCTAGTTGAGTCCATGACCAGTTGAGTCCATGGCTAGTTGAGTCCATGACCAGTTGAGTCCATGGCCAGTTGAGTCCATGGCCAGTTGAGTCCATGGCTAGTTGAGTCCATGACCAGTTGAGTCCATGGCTAGTTGAGTCCATGACCAGTTGAGTCCATGGCCAGTTGAGTCCATGGCCAGTTGAGTCCATGGCTAGTTGAGTCCATGACCAGTTGAGTCCCGGCCGTTTGAGTGGTTGATTACCGCCGGTTGAGTCTTGGGCCGGTTGAGACTCAACTGACCAGGGACTCAACCGGCTAGGGACTCAACCGGCCGATATTTCAAGGATTGGATGAGTTGAGCGTTTTTGGGCGTGTGGATGAGTTAAGCATTAGATGAGTTGAGGATTGGATGAGTTGAGCGTTTTTGGCCGTGTGGATGAGTTAAGTGTTAGATGAGTTAAGGATTGGATGAGTTGTAGGGTAGCCATTTTTCTCCCTTCTTTTTTTCCTCGCGCCTCTTGCATTCTTTTTTCCTCTTTGTAAGACAATGTGAGGAAAGCAGAGAGAGTGGAAAAAAGTAACAGCGCGCTTCTTTTAGCTTTTTTCATTATACTCAACCACTCCCATGGACTGAAACTTTGAACGGCCATAACTCGGCAAAAACTAATTTTGCAAGAAAACGGATAACTCCACGATACTAAGTCGAGGATCCTCTATCGAATGGTACCAAAAAATATATCAAATTCGCAGTCACAGTAAACGATGGTTCCTTGTAAGCTTAAACTTTTTTTATTTAAAAACTACTCCCATTTCCTCAACAGATGCGCGTTCACAGAACTTCATTTTCCTCAATGAGCACCCACCAACAACAACATTCATCAAATATTCCCCACCATCACCGTGGGGGAGGAGGGACAAGTGCTTCTGCCCGTCCAAGTATTAGTGCTGGTTGTGGTTCTGGAATTCGCCAACCTGTAGCGCTGAGAGCACTCCCTCCTGGGCATCATTTGGAAAATAGGAGATGGTCTCTAGCTTCGTTACCTTCATCTTCTGGATATGGGACGCCTGGAACGAATTCTGCTTATTCGGTTTTTTTTAATTTTTTGAAAAATTTTGTGGAGGAAAATCTTGTTCGCAAATAATTGCGGACAAAAATTTTTTTGTAATTTGTTTTAATTTTTGATTTTTTGGGATCAAATGTCACTCTAAAATAAATTTTTCTTATTTTCAGAGCCAATATTCTTCCCAAGAAAATTTGGCTAGCATTATTGGTGATATGCGTATTCGAGACCGTTTTGACAGCAACGAAAGCTATGCCTGCTGTTTAGGCGATGATTTTGGTGGTTTAATGCGTCCTCGTTCTCGTAGTTTAACGTTTGTTTTTTTTTTGTTAAAAATTTCAAAAAAATTCTTTTTAGAAGTCCAGTCCCTCATTTATTTGAACGCTTGGGTGTCGATTCTCCAATGATGCTTTCTTCAGTTTACAAGGAAAGATTCCCTAAAGCCAAACTTCAAATGGAAAATCGTTTAATGCAATTTCTTACACAAAATGCACCTTTGAGCGGATTTACTTCACAAATGCTTCAATTAAATATTGTGCCCCCTTCTCCGGTTTGTGAATTTTTTGTTGAATTTTTGTGCTAGGATATTAACAATGGATTTTTGGTTCTCGTGTAGAGTTGGGGTTTTGAATCGGGCCGACGTTCTTGTCATCTTTACGGGCCCCATTTTTATCGAACCGGATCTGTGGAGTCTTCTTTGGGTCAAAAATATAAGCCCGGTTCGTTCTTTTGAACCGAACTAGGCCCACAACCCTATTCTTGTCAATAGAAATTGTAAGTCCGCAAAAAATAGCAGATAAGTCATCAAGTGTTTTTTTATCATCAAGTGTTTCAAAAATTTTATTTGTTTTTTAGATGCCCACTCGTGAACAACAATCTTCCTCCCTTGTGCCACCATCTCCACGTCCACAATCACCAAATTTACTTACTCGACCACTTTCTCCTTTAGTAACAGAATCAGCAACGGCAATTGGGGATTCAGTAATTCATCATCGTTCGTCTAATACAAATTTTTTGAGTGCTGGGTCTGCTGGTGGGTTTTCTCCTGGAAATTCGTTTTTTGGTGGTGGTCAACAACAATCAAATCAAGGACTGGATGGAGGTTTTTAACTAATTTTTTCTGTCTTTTTTCTAAAAATGGGTCTTCTAACAAAATTTTTAGCTGACCATAATTTATTGTTTTTGGATGTTTTTTAGACTAGTAGGGAAAAAATAAGAATCAATCATATACTGGTTGTAAATTAATAGAGAAAGGCGTCCGTTTTTTCTTTTTGTTACTCTTTTACTAACTCATAATTATCAGTCAACTTATCGGTATTATTTGTTTATTGAGTGCCAGTTTGTAATATTTCAGTGAAGGGGAGTCTCTAGAAGCTTTTACTTGTGTATAAGTACGAATAATTAGACTGACCTCCTACGACAAAAATAAGGCTTACGTGTACGAGAAAAATTTAAATTTCCAAATACTGATAAGTGGGAGTAAAATTACCTTATTATTTTGATACAGGATTGTGTTAAATTATTATTATTTTTTAAAAGGAAATGGAGAACAAGCAACCAACAATAATACCCCACCAATAATAACTTCTTCAACAATTTCCTCCCCATTATTTGGTTGTTCAACAAATATTCCCCCAATAGACCCTCAATTATTACGTTTAATTTCTGATGGTGCTACACGTTTTTTACATCATCAATTATGTGAAATTGCTGCAGATTGTTTACAAAAAAGTCGGGATGATTTGTTGAATTGTGTTTATTTTTGTTCAATGTCTGTTAGATTGGATGAAACTTTGGCTGAGGTTTTTTAAAAATTTTTTGAGAAAATTTTCTGCCGGATTTTTTAAAAATTTCTGAAAATATTTTCTAATTTTTTAAGAGAATTCTCTGGGATTTTTTTTATCTTTTAATTAAAAAATTATTTTTCTCCAATGGGGAGTCGAACCCATATACGATTTCACACAAGAATAAAGCATTATCCCACTACACCAAAATATAACATTATTTAATGTAATGGAAATAAGGGTAGTGATCACTTTATACGATTAAATTATCGGAAAGAAAAATTTATTTTTCAATTTTAAGGCTGAAATGAAAGTTGGACCAGAATCTTATAAATATTTATTTCGTCTAGTCAAACAAATGTTGATGATTGTTTCTAGAACTGCTAGACTTTTGGAATGCTTGGTTTGTTTTTATTTTTTGTGGGAAAAGGAATTTTTTTGGTTATTTTTTTTGACCAAAAAGTTATGAGAGTAACATGAAAATTGAGTAGATGCAAAGTTTCTCGGAATAGTTTTTCTTGAGAATTTTTGGAAAACTTTTCAAAATTTTTTGGAAATTTTTTAAAAAAATATTTCATGAGTTTTGTTGCCCTAACTAGGGTTGGAGGCTCGGTTTGGTTCGAAAGATCGAATTGGGCTTCTTTTTTTGCCCGAAAAAAGGCGACCGGTCCGGCCGAAAAAAAGCTCGAGCTGCCCAGTTCGATAAAAATGGGGCCCGAAAAAATCCCTGATTCGAAAGCCCCGGCCCTAGCCCTAACCTTTTAAAATTTTTAAAAATTTATTTTCTAAAATTTTTTATAAATCTTTAGGAATTCAATCCAGACGAATTTTATCAATTACTTGGAGATGCAGAAGTTGCAGTACGCGAACAATTAGGTTCTGGCTCTGCTCGTGTTCCAGATTTGCCTCAATATATTTTGACAAAATTGGGATTAAATAAAAATTTGTCTTCTTTGGAAAAAAATATTGGAGAACAAACTGGGGATGGGGCTGGAGAGGAGGAAGAAGAAGAAAATGAGGAAGAATTTGGACAGAATAAAGGTCATAAAGATGCTCAATTGACAGCACAAGGTTTTCTTTTTTTTAATGTTTATGGTATTCAAAATTCGGGGTAGTGATGCTCGTGAGAAGAAAACCCCAGAAATCGGGAAACGTGAGTCGGTTCAGGGAATGACCTCGGGATTGGGATATCCTAGCATCACTAGTTTGGGACGTTCCATTGTTTTGTTCTTTTTTATATTTCCCGATTTTCTTGGTTAATCGGTGGTCGATTCCCTTTTATAATTATAATTTAAGAAAAAATGGGATGGTTATTAGAGCTGTTTTGAAATCTCAATTTTTGATTTCAAGGATCTTGAAAATTGTTTCTGAACTGTTTTAGATTTCTTCAGATTTTTAATGTTTTTTTTTGTTTCGAAAAAGCTCTGGTCCGAACCGATTAATTTTTTTAGAAATTCTGAAATTTCCCTTAATTACAATTTCGAGTATTTTCTAAATTCTTTTTTTAAAGATTCTTCAGACAAGTTAATATTACCTCCTCAAACAACTCGAGAAGCTCCAAAAGAAGAAGATTTTGAAAATATTCGTTTAATAAGTAATGGGGCTTATGGAGCTGTCTATTTGGTTAAACATAAAAAGACTAGACAACGTTTTGCTTTAAAAAAGATGAAAAAACATACTTTATTGTTGAGAAATCAAGTTGAACAAGTTTATGCTGAAAGGGATATTTTGACATTTACTGATAATGTAAGGAGGGGGAAGGGTTTTTTGATTTTTAAAACAATAGGGAAGGAAAGCCACTGGGATAGAAATCAAATGGGAGAGGGGGGGGGTGTCAGAGATGTTTTTGAAAAACCACAAAATCCTTTAATAAAGTCGAAATCAAAATTTCGAAGCAGCTCTGTGGAGGAGACTTCCAAGCATTTTTTGCTTAACTACTATACACTATCAGTCTTTCTAAGGTCTTATTAGGGTCACAAACGGCATCCTTACTAGGGTTGTTGTTAGTTCGGGAACCGATTCAAAGAATTGAGAATTTTTCAGTTTGAGTCTTCGGTTCCTGATATCCTTTGGACTTTCGATGTTCCAAAAACCTAAACATCCTATTCTCTACAGTTATAACTAACTTTTTTTGAAGGAATTGAGTATTTAATATATTAAAATATACACAAAATTATATTTAATTTATTTATTTTCCAGCCTTTTGTCGTTTGTTTTTATGGATCTTTCGAGACAAAACAACATTTATGTATGTTAATGGAATATGTTGAGGGAGGGGATTGTGCTTCTTTATTAAAATCTGCCGGTACTTTACCAATCGAATTAGCTCGTCTTTATGTAGCCGAAACTGTAATGGCTGTTGAATATTTGCATTCTTGTGGAATTGTTCATAGAGACTTGAAGCCAGACAATTTATTAATTACCTCTATGGGGCATATTAAATTAACTGATTTTGGACTTTCGAAGATTGGATTAATGAATAGAACAACTTTGGTGTCTGAGGTAGAGAGTTTTTGCCTTACTTGGTCCTAAAGGAAAAGGTCTATGCCCAGGGTGTCTCAGGTTGAGGAAAAAGTCTGGTCGAGTTTTAAAAATTTTCTTTGGGTTGGGATTTGGATAACTCATGACTTTCCTGGTCTAGACAGCCGGTTTAACTTGATTGACCATTTTCAAATGTGACTTGAAAAAAATTTTTAAATAAAAATATTGAATTTTAAGGGTTATCTTCAAGATGACACACAACAATTCAAAGATAACCAACTTTGTGGAACTCCAGAATATATTGCCCCAGAAGTAATTTTGAGACAAGGATATGGTGAGTGGAAGAAATTTTTTTCAGAAATATTTTTTCTTTAGGAAAGCCGGTAGATTGGTGGGCTTTGGGCGTCATTCTTTACGAATTTCTTGTTGGCATTGTTCCATTTTTGGGTGATTCGCCTGAGGCGCTTTTTGCAAATATAATAAATGAAGAAGTGGAGTATCCGGAAGGAGAAGAGGTGAGTTGAGAGGGTGGGGGTTTGACTTAAAAAAATTTTTTGAAAAATTGAAAAATTTTTAAGAGTCTGAGGTTGATGATTGACCACTTTTAACTTTTTGAATTTGGCCATTTCTAATTTCCTTCATTTTTAGGCTCTAAACCCTGATGCCGAATCTCTCATTCGAATGCTTCTTGAAAAAAATCCTGCAGATCGTCTCGGAACTATGGGAGGTGCTGGGCAAGTATCCTCACATCCCTTCTTTGCCCCTATCGACTTTGGCACAATTTTACGTCAAAAAGCAGAATTTGTGCCTCAATTGGAAAATGATGAAGATACTTCTTATTTTGACTCGAGAACGGATCGTTATAATCATGATGCGGAGTCCGAAGTTGCTGAGGATGATGAACAAGTACCTATGTTTTGGTGGGTTTTTAAGCCTCAATAAATTTTCCAAAAAAATTTCTCCTTTCTCAGGTCATTTTCCACCGCCTCTCCACGTCATAGCATTGTTGGAGGTTTAGAACTTCCAATTGGTGGAATGGCTATGTTACAAGCAGCACATGCTGCTGCTATAGAAAGGAGTCAACAGCAACAATTACAAAATTCACAACAGCAACACGATTTGGATAGTGATGATAAAGCTTCTTCTGGTGTTGGGAGTGCTCCAGGGTCTATTTCTTTAGGTCTTCCTCAACAACCAAGTAGTAGATGTGTTTCGAGGAATGCTGGTAAGGAAATATATTAAGACTTTGAGATGTTAGAAAATTTGAACTGGTCGGTTAGGGGGAGGTAAGGATGGATGGGAAGTGTTACCGGTTTCTGAGAACCTGAAGCTCAGTTCATTTCCATCTTTGTTGAATCTCTGCCTTGTGGCAGGCTACTTTTTAAAACCACCAAAAACTGGAACACCACATAACTATTGTTTTTAGCCATAACAAATTAAATAATAGCTTCCATAAAACAAAATTCTCTCTCAGATTTGCTCCAAGAACCAACTTCCTTATCACCATCCGAACAACTACAAACTCGCCCAAAATCTTCTACAACAAATCAACGTTTAAACGAATTTTCTGGAGCTGATGTAATTCCTTCTGCTGTCATTTTACGAAGACGTTTCTCTAGTCAAAGGCATTCAAACACAACAAACATGTCTACTAGTAGTAGTGGAACTACTGGGACGGGTGCTGGTGGACAAACAACTAATACATGCTCGTCGACTGATTCGTCTGTTGATGTTTCTCATTTTCAGTATGATGCTTCTAGGAAGAGTCATGGACAGTTACCGAGGTGAGAGGAGAGAGTCCTTTTGTGGCTTTGACATTTTATAACTGGACATTTTGAGATTTTATACCTTTTTAATTTTAAAGGTTGGCAATTTCTCCATGTGCCAGTGTTGTAACAAGCTCTAATCCTTCCTCTTCCACCCATTTACCATTACAACGTCGCTCTGAAGAATTGTTACAAGCAAATGAACACCACACACAATTACAACATCTTTCTCCAGTACAAGAACGTTGGCAAGAAAATAGTGGAGGTGGAGGAGGAAATGTTGTTATTAGAAGGGTACAAAAGAAGCGTCCTTCTACTGTTGTACATGAATTGGTGAGTTTGAAAAAAGATTCTCCGGACATATCGGGATATTTCAATGTACTAACAGTCAACTGATTTCGGGACTTACGGGTGCTGGGTCTTGAAGAAAAGTATTTTTATGTTTTGGAACCAACGTAAGCACAAGAGGTTATTTTTCGTTACAGAAATCCCGATATGTCCGTCCCGATATGTGGTAGTACAAAAAGTCTTAGACTTTGAGTACGAAGCAGGATGAGGACTACGATTTAAAAATTACCGTAATCCCAATGAAAAATTTTTCTTTTAAAGATAACGGATTCATCCCAACAGCAACAACAACAAAATAAACAACAACAAATTCCCCCAATAAATTCCCCCCAATTAAATCGCCAACTTCGTTCAACTTCTTGTCGTATTCCAAACACAACAAAAGCCCCACCAGAAACCCTTAAAGTTCAAATACCTCAACAACAACAACAAACTAGTTCTAATAATTCTTCTCCTCAAACAAGTACAACGAATACAATATATTATCATTCTTACGGGTTAAATGCTGCTCAACAAGGTAGTGGATAGTTGATACTGGATATTTTGAAATTTTACCATTTTGAAATATTTTTTTTAATCAAAATTTATTTTTTTTCAGTCCATAGCAGCTCATCTGGTCAACAATCTCCCTCATGCGCCTCAGTCTCCAGCGCTTCCTCTTATGAATGTCAAAAACAGCAGCAACAACCCCCAGCAGAACCCTGTGGACCTTCGTTGGAAGTTCATCAATCTGGTAAATTTGATTTTCTTGTTAATTTCATTTCGAATAATTTTTTTAATTTTCGATGGAAAAATAAGATTTCAAAGATTTGGAACAATAAGAAAAAGTAGTAGATTTAGAGATGCTTATATAATCCCTACATTTACATTAACTAGATATAAATAAATAAAAAAAGTAACGGGAAAAATAAATAAATAAAATAAAAATAATAAATTGAAATAATAAAAGGGGTTAATAAAAAAATAAAGATGAGGAAAAAATGATAGTAAAACACAAGGTAGTTAAATTATATATTTAATTAAAAAATGTGAGGAAGCGTGAAGGGAGGATTAAGCTTTAGCTAATAAAGACAAGGGAGTATATCAGGGATGGGTTGGTTTAAAAGGGAAAATTTTGGATTTCGGGTAACCAGAACAATCCCTTAAGGTTTATATTATTGTGTGAGAAGCAGAAAAAGTTGTTTCGTTCTTGGTAGCTCTTTTCTGGTTTGAACGGTTGTTCTGAGCTAAAGGTCTAATAATTCCCAATAACATTGAAAAAAGTTGCCGCAAAAGTTCGATTCCTGATTTCTGTCCCCTAATGTGTTTGTGGATAAACTTCTCCTTAACTCTCTAAAAAATTTTTCTTTTAAAGGTCATTCAGCAACAACCCTTCCATCTCCATGTTCTTTATTACCCCCTCCCTCTTCTTTACATCCTATAAATCATCGAACATCTATTTCTGGTGGTTTATCAAGGCCTATAGTTATTAGAAAGGGTGCTCAAGGATTTGGATTTACAATTAGATCTGTGCGGGTTTATTTAAGCGAGGTGAGGGTTTTTTTAAAAGAAAAAATGAAAAGAAATTTTCTTTAAAGCTTTCTGAATATTACTCAATTGAACATATTGTGTCTGCTGTACGTGAAGGTTCTCCTGCGTGGGAGGCTGGATTGAGGGTTAATGATTTAATCTCGCATGTGCATACACAATCGGTATAGTTTATATTTTCTGAAATATTCTGGTTCTCTTCTGAAAAATTCTGATTTTATTCTAGTCGTTTCTTATGTTTCTGATTTATTCCTACCGTCAAATCTTACCACCCTAATTCATTACCAATCCTTAAAATCTACAACAATTTTTTCAGGTTCACAATATGACACATCCCCAATTAATGCATAGACTTCTTTCCTGTGGAAACGAATTAACTGTCCATGTAGTCCCTTTAACAAATACATCAATTAAAGAAGGAGAACCTCGCCGTAATGTTGGAAAACCTTTAAGAAAAAAACCTTTACGTCGACCAACAACAAATTTAAGGGGCGGTGGAGGAAGTAATGGTGGAGGGGGAAATGGACGAGTTAAAGGTGGTGGAGGAGGGGGAGGAAGTTCTGCTGCTGCTTTAGTAGCTAATTCTTCATTATTGAGGAGATTAAGTGGAAAAAGAGGGAATGCTGTGGATATTGTGCCGGGTAAAAATTAAAAAAATTTTCTTTTGGATTTTTCGATTTTTTTAAGCCTAGGAAAATTTTTTCTTAAAACTTGGACTTATACTCTCTAACTTTATTAAAATACAATTTATGTTTCTCTATCATCTACTTGATTTTGAAATGTTTCCGAAAAATAAAGAATTTAAAGTTTTTTGGAAAAGTTATGAGAGACAACATTTTACATTGAAATAGAGAAACATAAATTTAGAAACGTTTCCGGAAAATTTAGAGAATATTTAAGTGTTCTCTTCCGGAAAATTCTATACTTCTACTAATTTTCCGGGAACATCTTTTAATTAAATAAATGGGTTAAAGTTTTTCCGGAAAAAGTGAGAGAGACTCCATTTACATAGAAAATATGGAGAGACAGAGAGACATATTTAAATTATTAAATTTAATTGTAAAATGTTTCCGGAAACTAAAGAATAGAACAATGACTATATTTCTTTGTTTTCCGGAAAAGTTGAGAGACAACGTTTTACATATAAAATAGAGAAACATAAATGGGAGGGGGGTATGTTGTAACAATTTCTTTGATTTTTAAATAAAATAGGGATTTTTAATTTATATATTTTTCTAGGTACTTCTTCCCAAAAACAAACATTTATGCCTCGTTCAGTATCTAGTCAAGAAGGTGTTTTAGTCTCAAATTCTTCTTCTAATGTTGCAACTTGTTCTATTTCTTCTACTTCCCAAGAACACCAACAACAAAACAAACAATATTTAACAGCTCCGGGAGCAGAATTAATATCAGCTAATTCAACAACATCAAAAAATTCACAAACGACAAAAAGACTTTCAATACCTTCAGCTTCAGTTTTATTGGATTCTGTTAGGAGAAAATTGTAAAAACATTTAAAATACTTATACCTATAAATATATAATTATTATTAATTTTTTGATAAATTTTACGTTATTTTTTGGCTGGTTTCTAAAGAAGATTTTTTGATCAAAAAAATTAATAATTTTTTAATAGCCAAAAAAATAAATAAAATTTTATCAAAATTTTTTTTGTTAAATCCTTAAAAATCATCTTCTCTATATCACACCCCAACCCTGTTGCTTGCTTGCATTTTCACTCACGTTAGTATGTATTATTGTTAGAGAAAATATAGATTGTATATATTATCAACATTCGTTTGTGGTTAGAGAATTAGAGCTAATTTTTTTTATAGCTAATTTTCCAGAAACATTTTATTAAGTATTTCCGGAAAAGTTTATCTTGTATTCCGCAAATATTCTGCGATAGTTTTTATTACTTTTCCGGATTCTATTTATTTTTCCGGAAAGTTTTCAGAATTCTCTTAAATTTTAATTTTATTTTTTCCGGAAAAGATTTTCCTCTCGTTCTCTGCCCTAATGTATGTATATTATAAAATATTGTTATTGTTTACTTTTAGATTAGGAAAAAAACTTAAAAAATTATATAGAAATTCTGATTTAAATCCCTGTACGTTGTAAAATATTTATAAGCCTTTATCAAGCCAATCATTTATATTATATAAATCAATTATTAAATATTCCATGCTGTTTTTGATGTTTTATTAATCTGAATAAAATGATTTAAATTTTTGTTTCATATCAATTTTTCAACAATATTCAGAAAATTCTTTAAAAATTTTTAAAAATATTTTTTTAAAAATTTTTGACAAAAAAAGCTTACGACACCCACGATTCCCAGGGTGTCCGGAAAATTGGGCTCTGGAAAATTGGGCTCCAAGATTTTTCGGAAATTTGGGCTCCAACTTTTCGGAAAATTGGGCTCCGGCGGTAATTTGGGCTCTTCGTGAAGAAATCGGAATATTGGGCTCTAAAATTTTGGGCTCCGGAGGAATTTTGGGCTCTGAGGAAAAAGTCAAATTATTCAAAAATTAGCGAGTACGCCCAACTGTTATTCGAAGGAATAGGATTTCTTTATCAAATTCCACTGAATCGGACCAACCAATTTGAACCAATTTGAGTATACTGTAAAGGAATAGGCCAAGTACTCACCCAGACCAACTGGCCGTAGGTTCCGAACCCAGACTCGACTTCGCTCCGTAGGTTTGCATAATTTGACTTTTTTCCTCAGAGCCCAAAATTCCTCCGGAGCCCAAAATTTTAGAGCCCAATATTCCGATTTTTTCACGCAGAGCCCGAATTACCGCCGGAGCCCAATTTTCCGAAAAGTTGGAGCCCAAATTTCCGAAAAATCTTGGAGCCCAATTTTCCAGAGCCCAATTTTCCGGCACCCATTCCCAGGACGTCTCCGTTCCAAGTACTGAGGCCCAGCGTTGCTTAACTTGCCAGATCGGACGGGATGGCGTGCTTTCAACGCGGTATGGTCGTAATCAAAAGTGGTGCTTTCTCTTATGTTTAAAAAGAATTGGAAGTTAAGATTAGCAGGGAGCGGATTTTTATTGAAATCAAACCGCAAAATATGGCCATAAAATATTGAAATAAATTGGCAAAACAATGACAAAAAATGCCAAAATTAAGCGAAATATTGAAATAAATTATTGTTAATTTATTAGCTAAATTTAAAAAAAAGTCGAAATTAAACAAAATTGTTTTTGTGCTTGAAGAACGTTTTATGTGCTTATAGCCATTATTTGAATACAAAACGTATGAGAAAAAAAGGATTATTTTTGGGGGCATAAAATCAGCAATCTTCTCTACAAAGGAATCAGTCATTTGTTTATGCGTTCCGAAATGCCTCTTATTTCAGCACTTTGCCGATCGTCATTTCTTTGTAATTGTAACTCGTTTTTTTAATTTGAATTTTTAATTGAATAGGGTAACTCCTCCAAAAAATATACCTATATATACTACCAAAATCTATGTAACCATTTCATAAATAATTTTTTCTTAAATTTTATAAAATTTGTTTTTATGTTCAAGTTTTTCATCACTAAATCGTATAAAAAACTCCCCGGTAATAGCTCTTTCAAATGAGCTATAATTTGTATAGTCGGACTTCCCCCTATGGTTTTTCGATTTTCGGGGGCCTATATCTCTGCGAGTTTTCGTCGCTCGCAGAAAATTCTTGCATATTTGAATTCAGCATAGTCGATTACCTATATAAAATGATTTTCAGAAAAAATAACGATTTTTAAGGTTTTTAAAAGTGGATCCCAGATTCTGCAGGATTACCATAATACGATATTTTGGGCAAACGATAGTTTGGCGATATTTTGGGTGTCAATATTTTTGGGTGGACTCAAATTTTAATTAATTTTTATATTTATTTTTCAGCTACTTAATCTAAAAATGTCACATTTCTTTAACAAAAATAATAAAGTTGATCATTCATTCTTAAATAATTTTAGAGGAATGCCTTTTAATCCTCCCAATTTGAACAATCACCAAATGGGTATTTTTATGGCCGCCTCGATAGGCAATTATGCTCTAGTTCAGGTTATTGAATATTAAAATATCCCTCAAATGATTTATTTTTCTAGGAATATATACTTAACAACAACGAGTCTGTAAACTTCAGAAACAGACATGGATGGACTCCGCTTATGTATGGGGCACAAGCTGGAAATATTGAAGTTTGTAGGCTTCTTCTGGACAATGAGGCAAACCCCTAATTAACCAATAATGTTGGACAAACTGCAAATGATTTGGCTGCTAACTGGGGACTCCCCCCGTTTAATTAAAACTGATATTTGTTATTTACCTATTTCTTCTAATAGTGCGACCGTTTATTTTTCAATCTTCCTCTAGGGGATCGGTTTATTAGAAAGGGTCGGTCTATCCGAGTCAATCGCACTATCAGAAGAAACACAGTAATCATAACTTATTTTTTTGCACTGAATAAGTCCATTTACATTTTTTAACAAAAATAAATATTTTGACATATACATATGTAATTTTCTAGTTAATTATAAAATTTTGAAATTTCACGGGAATAATTTTACAGTTGGAAATTAAAAAAATATTTTCCCCCAAAATATTTTTCAAAAAAATTGCTTACGACACCCCCGATTCCCAGGACGTCTCCGTTCCAAGTACTAAGGAGGCCCAGCGTTGCTTAACTTGCCAGATCGGACGGGATGGCGTGCTTTCAACGCGGTATGGTCGTAAGCGAAATAGCTGCTTTCTTTTACGTTTAAATACTAATTAGAAACGTTTATCGTCGTTATTAATGTTACTGTGACATAAAATAGTGGGAGAGTGACACATTCGATCATGTTTTTTGTTGCTTTATATTATTGTAAAATTTATATAGGTATATTAAAAAAGAAAAAATACAATAAAAATATTTTTTATTAATCTATTTTTATTTTTTTCTTAATCAAATATTTAGACATGTGAGGGGGGATTGAATGGTAGAGGTATATTTTATAGCTTTTTTTCTCTTTTTTCTCCACAAATTTATTTTAATGTTTTAAATTTATAATCAACTAAAAAATTGTACGATAAAAATACCTAAAAATATTAGGGCTTTCCCCTTTGATTTTCAATTCTGAATATAGTATACTTGGTTATTCTGACGAACAAACTCATTTAAGTCCAGACCTTATAACTCATTTAGGGATGGTCACTTCTTTATAATTTTGGTACCATTGGATAGAGAATTAAATTTTTTACAGGATTTCAAAAAATCAAAATTCTCGACTGATTGATAAAAAAATTATAAACTAAAAACTAACTCTTCTTCAAAAAATGTCATTTTTCGTCGCTTTATCGACCATAACTTTTTTATTAATCACTCGAGTATTTCGATTTTTTGTGATCTTATAGTGTATTTAATTTTCTATCGATTGATACCAAAAACATTAAAAAGTACCCACTTTTTCAAGAGTTATAGGGCTGGGACTTAACTAAGGGTGTACTCCTTCTAAAAAGCCTTATAAAAATTATATTTTTATTTTTCCTCAATTTGCAACAATAAATATACACAAAAATAATAATAAACATAAACTTAAAAAAAATAATCTTTATTTACTCCCCTTTTTTATTTTTAGAAAAAAATTATTAATATATTAAATTGACAAACAGCTGCACAAAATAAATAATTACCTTTAAATATTAATTTTTTAGTTTTTTTTTCATGTTTATTACACTATTTATTATTTTTTAAATTTAAGTATAAATTAATGAATGCCCTTTTTCTGTGTATAATCGGGTAGAAAAGTTTAATTTTTAATTTAAAAATAATAAATTAAGAATTTTAATTATATGTAGTTATGTGCCAGAGCTGTATTTTCTTCCGTTCCCGCGTTCCGCAAAATTTTCTTTTTTGAACCTTCCGTTTCCGCCTTCCGTCTGCCGCCGCTTTTTTATTTTGTTCCGTTTTCATTCGCTACCGCTTTTAAAAAAATTAAAATTATACAACCCTGTTATGCACTATTTAACCTAAATTTTCCCAAAAGAATTAAAAATCAGAATAAATTTTTAAGGCATTCTACCTAATTTTGGGGAGCTATTTAATTGAAAAAGCAAATAAAATTACCTCCACCTGCCGACAGATATTTAATTTATGTTTCCCTAAAGTGGCAAGTCTGGTGTGTTAACCGCTACACAAAGGCAATAGTATACCAGACGAGAAAATCAGAATTAAAAACAGAATAAAAAATCAGAATTTAGCCAATCAGAATTTCATTAGAGAATCAGAATAAAAATCAGAACATAACTCAGAAATCAGAATTTTCTACCAGAATAAAAACAAAATCAGAATTTCATGTCAGAATAGAAAATAGAATTTTCAGCATTAAAAATCAGAATTTAACCAATCAGAATTTCATTAGAGAATCAGAATTAAAATCAGAACAAAACTCAGAAATCAGAATTTTCTACCAGAATAAAAACAAAATCAGAATTTCATGTCAGAATAGAAAATAGAATTTTCAGCATTAAAAATCAGAATTTAACCAATCAGAATTTCATTAGAGAATCAGAATTAAAATCAGAACAAAACTCAGAAATCAGAATTTTCTACCAAAAAATCAGAATTAAAAATCAGAATTTTATCAGAAATTTCTCTGATTTTCAACGTCTTTAAAATTAAAAACTTTATACATATATCAATTTATCCCCCCCCCCTTTTTTTATATTTTTGACATTTTTAAATTTCTTTTTATTTATTTTATATTTTCATTTTCTCCATTCCATTCCTTTTCTTTCTTTTTTTTATTCCTCCCCCCAAACACACACAAATATTAAATGCAAGAAAAAAAGCGGCAGATGGAAGGTTTTTATTTAGTTATTTAGCTGGTATTAGTTAGCACTAAAAAAAGACAAAAATTGGTCTTTTATAGAAGAGAAGGAGGGAGGAGGGATTGAGTTTTTTTTAATTTTTAAAAAATTAAATTTTTAAATAATTTCCCTTCCTTTAGGGGTAATTCGAACTTTAAAAAATTTATTTTTGTATTTTTAAATTTTAATTCCTCATTCTTATTTTCAATCCAAAAATAAATTTTTACCAAATAAATTCAAAAATTGTCTCAACTTTTTATGTTCATCTACTTGTACTGCTTCAACTTTAAGAAAAATTTAAATTTAATTTTTGAGCTTTTTAATTACCTCGGGCAAATACATTCGGGGACCTAATGTCATTTAACTAAATTTCAATCAAAGTTCAAGCAGTACCTGTAGATGAACATGTGAACGTGTTGATATACCACCCAATATTTAACGTTTTGACACATTTTGGGATCAAATGTCTTTTTTATATTAAACTGGTATCTAATGTCACCTTCTAAAAACACAAATTCAAGCAGTTCAAGTAGACCATTTTTCATTTTCCTCAACTTTTTTAATCTTCTATTTATTAAAACCCTTCTCTAAACCATTTTGTAAACACTTTAAAAACATTTGTTAATTAATTAAATACTTCCGTTTGCTACAATTTTAATTTTTTAATTTTTATTCACTCCTTCCCCCCCTTTACATCCTTCTCCTCTCTTTATTTTCTTCTACCATTCACTGCGCAATGCTTTTAAAACCAAAACGGACGCATCATCATCATCACATTGCCCCCTCAAAAATCGGCAAAGCAATTCACTTGGAGAGGGGGAGGGAGGATTTGTGATGAATGACTAAATGTCGGTGTGCGCCAAAAATTTTTATAAACGCCAAATTTTAATTTCTGTCAATTTCGAAATGTTAAATTCCCCAAAATATATTTAAAAACAGAATGCCAAATTAAATTTATTTTTAGAAAAACTCGAAAAAACTCCCCAAAAATATCAGAACGCCAAAAACGCCAAAATTTTCTCGCACCCCCACAAAAATCCCTCCCAGACAAAACACTCGCGCACATTTTGTCGCTCAAATTCTTTTTTAAATAATTTTTAGTTTATTCCTCCCTTTATGTTCTCTTTTTTTATATTATATTCATTTTTAGACTTGACTATAATCTGTTGAAATTAGAGTGACCTTCACTTGAAGAAAAAAGAAATTTTAAAATTTGTTTAAATATTTATTTTTAATTATTTTAAAGTGCACACATTTTAATTTAGAAGAAAAAAAAAGTTAAGATAAAAGATTAAATAAAAATAAGTATGAAAACATTTGAGACATTCTAGACAGTGCTTCGAAGCTCGTACCAAAATTCGTACTCGTACCTCGTACTCGTACTCGTACCTGGTACGAAGTACGAGTACGAGTACGAGCAAAAAAATTGGGCAGGTACGAAGTACGAGTACGAGTACGAGGCCAAAAAAAAGTGAAAAGTACGAGTACGAGGCCTAAGTACGAGCTCGTACTTCTCGTACTTGGTGTTAATAGGAAAATTGAAAAAATATGTTTAATTTTATTCAATAGTCCTTATATGAGCGAGTAGCCGAGTGGTGAAGGTGTTTGGCTGCACCAAAGTCTATAATGATTTAGTATTGGGTTCGTTTCCTATTCACTGGACAAGGATTTTTAATCTTTTTCTCTTCATAAATAACTTATTTATAATTTTAATTTTTTTTAATTATTGTATTTTTACTTGGATTAATTATGAGATTTGACCATCTAAAATTCTTAAAAAAAATTTTTTTTGAACACTAAATGTGAATTTTTTTCACTACGGCCTTCGGAAATTTTCAAAATTTTCGCCTGCGGCGCTGAAGAAATAAGAAAGGTGGTTATTGGCTTCCAAATTCTAAAATTTTCGCCTTCGGCGGTGAAAAATGAAAGAAATCTGGCTTCATGGCCTTCAAAATTTTTCAAAATTTTCGCCTGCGGCGCAAAAATAGAAATCTGACTTAAGGACATCCAAAATTCTCAAAATTTTTGAAAAAAAGGATTTGAGATTAAGAGGGATATAAGGAGATTATAATGTGAAAAGTTCGGTGGAAAAGATAAAAAGTTCCATGTAAGAAGATGAAAACCGGATGAAAAAATGTAGGATCTCGGGTAGCACGACTCATCTTGGAAGAAATATTTCTCCTTGCACTCTAAAATGCTCAAAAATTTCGCCTGCGGCGCAGCAAATAGATGAAATTGGAGGATTTATAACTTCAAGGCCTTCCAAGATTCAAAAATTATCACATACAACGCTTAAAATTTAAAACTAGATGCCCAGGGCTCAAAAAAATCATTAAAATTTTCGATTTTTTGCTTTTACCTCAAGTACGAGTAAGTACGAGGTACGAGT